AGATCCCTATAAAACTATGTAAGTATCATTCTTTATTAAGGTCCATAAGAACTAATATCTATACTTAAGATTTTCTTTTCTCAGCATCATGCTCATTTATCACAAGATGGCTGCTGCCGCTTCAGCTGATAATTATCGCTGCTTGCTGGAGCTGCTTTCCCGAAACTGCATTCCATGGAAACCCACCTACATCAAACGAACAATTGTGGAACTGCACTAGGCCCACCCTTAATCCAACCCTGAATGGAACCTATGATCCCTATTTAACTGATAATTAGAACATGTAGCCCCTCACCCATTTACTTACATGTATCACATTTTCAATAAAAAGGCAGATAATTCCTAGCAGTGGTCACTCCTCAGAGAGTGAACTCTAGGGGTGTCCAGCTAAGACGTGCATGAAAAAGGCACCAAGGGAACCAGCAGTTAGCATAATGGCTATGTCGCTGGACTCCCATGTTGTCGACCAGAGCTCTAGCATAAATATGAATGCAAAGATGGTAAGACTGGGATTCGTCATTCCTTGTTTTACTTCTGTGTTGATATTAACTGTGTCCCTGTAGTTACAGAACCATTTTCCATAGACTTTTCCTCCACGCAAAGTTCAGTTACATGATATGAGTCAAATAATAAGTAATATAAGCAACCACTTAATGAAAAAAGTTAACTGACTAATTTGATAGGTGGTGGTGGTGGTGGTATAGTTGTTGTTGCTATTATTATTATATGACTGAATTAATCACAGTAAAGGCAATATTTAGACTATCTTCCTGGATTTAAACTGCACTTGGACAATTTAAAGGAGAACACTTAATCACTGTGTCTTCATAAACTTATAAACAATATAGCAATTATTCTTTGCTTAGAAATTCTGTATCAGAAATATCTTTTAAAACTCTATCCTATAGGGGGACTAGCAGTTAGCGTAATGGCTATGTCTCTGTACTCCCATGTAGTTGACCGCAGTTCGAGTCCTGGACCTGGTGGCTTAAACTCACACCAGGCGCGTGTACGTGCATGCCCAAGATCCTGAGAGGAGAATGGAAGAGAAGGGATTGCAGCATGGCCATCTCCCCGAGGGGGTGATTTCTGACTTTCTGTCTCTCTGTCTTTCCAGTACATGGCATAATGGTTATGTCACTGGACTTGCAGAGTGGACGACAGTCCGATACCTGAATCCAGTGGTTATGTGTGCCCAAAATCCCAAGAAGAGAAGGGACCGTGGTGGTATGGGTATCTACCCCATCCTGGGGGGGATGTTGATGTCTCACTTTCTGTCTCTGTCTCTCCGGCAAGCAAATGCATCCTACAGCAAAAATCTCTCTCTTAAAAAAAAAAAAATCGTACGAATTAATAATTAAAGTTATTAAAAACAAAGATTTCATGTCATCTTTGTGGTTTTCTTCACAGCATTATTTTATGATTTACTAACGGGCACAACATGAAATTTCCATTCCAAAAATCTAAGCATCAAATGCTAGAAAACAGTGTTGGTTGCCCTTTATGAGATTTAGTTACATAAAGAATCGCTGTCAAATATATAAAGGTTAAAATGATTTTAAATGCCATTAAAAGTGTTCAAAACCAATACAATGATTTCTGCATAACTTTGACATTTATGAGAAAATTCAACAAATTTCAAACAGAACTGCAAAGATTCGAGAAAAAAGACACTAGGTTTGTATTTAATGGGCACAGAAAGACTGTCTCTTCAAACAAGGTCATATTAACTAGATACTAATCATGTAATTTGTATAATCATGACCATTACTTAAAAAGTATCATCTTTCTAAGAGAAAAATGATAAAATTATCAGTGAATCTAAGTCAACTTTGAAAAGAGAGAGGAAGAAAGAGAAGGAGGAGAGGGATTAATAAATATTCTTCATGGCATTCTTCAAGAGGCGGGGGGGGAGAAGTAAAATGAGGACATTTCAGTAAGGATAAATTCTGGAATAAATATTTCGTATTTTCAAATATTGAAGTATTAATGCAAAAATACTATGCAAAACGGATAGCCTCCATTATAATTGATGCTTCTACATAAAGATGTATACATACATTTCTGTGCACACACACACACAAACCCCTCTCAAATTCACACAAACCTACATAGAAATCATTTTGAATGTGCTATTACAAAAAAAAAGCTTATCCTTGTGTACAGTTTCTTAAAGAAACATACATTTATCAAAAATTTTTAACAAAAATTTATCATTCTATCAAATTATTAATTTCTAAGTTGCCTATGGTACAAATCAATTTGAGCACGGGTTCAGATTCAAGTATTCTCACACTGGCTTCCTTTCTAATTTGCTCATCTTACCTCACCTACACTAACTATATTAGAAATGCATAAGGCCCAATTACAAAGTCTCTCAAAGTTCCAGTCTGCTGGATGCATGGCCCATGAAGAGTCATCACACTTAACAACAATACAGTGTAAGTTCTTGTGCTTACAAATTACGCAACATTCTCGTTAAACCTTAAGTTTTCAGATGTCATAATACATGTGGCATTCTATGACAAGTGTTTTTCCCTTCTGCCCAGACTTAATGGAGCAAGAACAAGCAGGCTTTTGAATCAGCATTTGCTTGCGTGTGAGATTTATACTCGACTGTCGCTTGGCTCTCTTATGTGATTACTGGGCTATAGGCTTCTACAAACTGACAGAAAAAACAGGAGACGTGAAAAGTGCAACAATACGAAAAACAGATGTTGGTGCAAAATTCCAGAGCCATTTGTTTGCTCGTTTCGCTTTTTAGTACATAGTTTCTATGCTGAGAACAAAAGGCTCTTCTCTCCTTTTGAATACCTGGAACCATGGTGCACACAGGGCAGGTAAAGGAGGACGGCTATGCGAGGGGGACTTGAGGAGTTGACGGGTGAGAGAAAAAAAAGCCAAGAGGATAGTCAGTAAAAATAATGCACTCATGGGCCAGCAGATGGCATGGTGGTTAAAGCACTGGAGTCCTACCTGGCGACCATGGTTTGAGTCACAGACCCAGCAGTCTGGAACTCAGGTCCAGCACATGTGCATACGTGCCCAAAATCTCAGGAGAAAAATGGAGGAGCCGGGATTTCTGCATGGCCATCCCACCCCCCCCAACCCCGGGGGGTGATTTCTCACTTTTCTTCTCTCTGTGTCTCTGCTGTGAGGGTATACATGGTATGACAAAACAAACAAAATAAATATCAAATATTGAAGTATTAATGCAAAAATACTATGCAAAACGGATAGCCTCCATTATAATTGATGCTTCTACATAAAGATGTATACATACATTTCTGTGCACACACACACACAAACCCCTCTCAAATTCACACAAACCTACATAGAAATCATTTTGAATGTGCTATTACAAAAAAAAAGCTTATCCTTGTGTACAGTTTCTTAAAGAAACATACATTTATCAAAAATTTTTAACAAAAATTTATCATTCTATCAAATTATTAATTTCTAAGTTGCCTATGGTACAAATCAATTTGAGCACGGGTTCAGATTCAAGTATTCTCACACTGGCTTCCTTTCTAATTTGCTCATCTTACCTCACCTACACTAACTATATTAGAAATGCATAAGGCCCAATTACAAAGTCTCTCAAAGTTCCAGTCTGCTGGATGCATGGCCCATGAAGAGTCATCACACTTAACAACAATACAGTGTAAGTTCTTGTGCTTACAAATTACGCAACATTCTCGTTAAACCTTAAGTTTTCAGATGTCATAATACATGTGGCATTCTATGACAAGTGTTTTTCCCTTCTGCCCAGACTTAATGGAGCAAGAACAAGCAGGCTTTTGAATCAGCATTTGCTTGCGTGTGAGATTTATACTCGACTGTCGCTTGGCTCTCTTATGTGATTACTGGGCTATAGGCTTCTACAAACTGACAGAAAAAAAAGGAGACGTGAAAAGTGCAACAATACGAAAAACAGATGTTGGTGCAAAATTCCAGAGCCATTTGTTTGCTCGTTTCGCTTTTTAGTACATAGTTTCTATGCTGAGAACAAAAGGCTCTTCTCTCCTTTTGAATACCTGGAACCATGGTGCACACAGGGCAGGTAAAGGAGGACGGCTATGCGAGGGGGACTTGAGGAGTTGACGGGTGAGAGAAAAAAAAGCCAAGAGGATAGTCAGTAAAAATAATGCACTCATGGGCCAGCAGATGGCATGGTGGTTAAAGCACTGGAGTCCTACCTGGCGACCATGGTTTGAGTCACAGACCCAGCAGTCTGGAACTCAGGTCCAGCACATGTGCATACGTGCCCAAAATCTCAGGAGAAAAATGGAGGAGCCGGGATTTCTGCATGGCCATCCCACCCCCCCCAACCCCGGGGGGTGATTTCTCACTTTTCTTCTCTCTGTGTCTCTGCTGTGAGGGTATACATGGTATGACAAAACAAACAAAATAAATAAAATAAAAAATGCACCCAAATCCATACCACACTTTTCAGTCATCCTACATTGTCCTTTTCCTTCCTTTCCTTTTTCTTTTTTTAAATCTAGTCTGGTGATAAGTGCAGAGATGGGTCAAAGGTCAGAGGCAGTACAATTCGGGGTGAGAAAAGGACAACAAAATCAATGGTCTTAGGTACAAATGCTTTTGTGCCCAAGAACGTGGCAGGTTATTCCCTTCAATCTTGATCAAGAAAGCCATACCCAAACATTCCAGGTTTAGGGAAGTCAAGGATTTGCACTTCAGGTCACACTTAATAAAATACCTAAATTCAGAAATCAAAAAGCAGTGGTAATTTTCTTAAAGAGTTGGTCATGGGTTTATTATAAACAACCCCAGACACTTCCCCTTCCCTTTTTTTCCCCCCAGAAGATTCACACTAGTACTCCTGCCAAGAATGTTTATTTGTTTGGTTCCTGAGACACAATGACCCAAAAGCCCTTGAAGGTAACAGAAGCCCTCGTTCTGCCATGAACACCCGCTTTTAACAGTCAGAAATAAACAGCGGCATTTGGTTACTGCATTCTTACTGACAAACTTACATGATTTCCTGTTGGACACTTTCAGGGGCTGAACTACTATTTCTGGTCGTCTGAGAGCCAGTCTCCTGGAAAAGAAGGTCAACATGCCTATCAATTTTCAGCACAGGGCCAAGGTTGATACAACAACCGAATACTGAAGTCTTAAGAAAAATCTGCAAATGGCGGGGGGAGGGGGGATGAACACAATGCCATTCATTCAAATTTCAAAAAAAGAAATCATTTCTCTGCTTTCAAATGAGTGTAAATAAATTATCTCCCCTCCTGCCAAAAGTACTGCTCTTTTTTTCCACCTTGCACATCAAGGTGATTGCAGATATTAATGTGCGATTTTCCATTTGCCTCGTAACAAAACCCTCAGATGACCTGGTACTGTCATGTTATTTTTGGTTGTCATTCATTCTTGGTTAGACAAAACAGAAACCCAAACCCAATGGAGAAGGAATTTGAAAGCAGGGTTTTCAAGCTTATTTTATCACGACTAGGCGGGAGTGACATTTTGTAAAGAACAAAAGGTCAGTTGGAGAAAGGCCTGTATTATTGTACCAGTAGCTCACCTTTCCTGGAAATGCTTCGAGGGAATCAAGCCTGCTCTGGGGTTGGCATCTCCTTCGAGCTTCGCTTGCCACCACGTTGCATCATCTTGGCTCATAATCTGAAGAATATCTCCCTTTTTGAAAGAAAGCCCGGCTTCCTTACATGGAATGGCCTTATCCTCATTAGGATCATAGTCAAAAAGGGCTTTGATAAACATCTGGAAGAAAGGTTCATTCGGATGAATAAATGAAAAAAGAGAAAAATCAATCTGAAAGGGCCTATATTTCCCTAGCTCAGATTTAAAAAGGAATTATTTAAACACTAGAGTATTAAAATAACTTTGTTGTGACAAAGTAGATATGGAGTGGATGAAAGACGTTAGTGCCCTTTCCCATTCCCAACACACCACAGGCACACGGAAATACATTTTTAAGTAATGATTACCTTTCCTTCTTTAGAAGGTGTCTCCTCTTTGATGCTGGGAATAATCTTAAATGTAATTGCTCCCTGAGACTGAGCCTGGTATCGGAAGAAAGAAAGAGTTATAAGAAAAGTCAAGCCAAGGAAAAAAAAAAAGGGGGGGGGGGGAGGATAGGTAGGAAGCTAAATACATCTGAAAATTTATAAGCTTGGAGTTTCTATGTGTAGATAGGCCAGACTGAGGAAATGATTTCTGTAGAAATTCCTGTAATGTGAGAAAGCCCTGCAGTTTGTCAAATAAGTTTTAAAAAAACACTTAACCACTACACCAATTTTACTTCCTGTGTACTTTGAAGGTATCGATGAATATATTATCACCCATGACAAGTTATTTCAACATAAAAACACAATGTATGCACAGTGCCTCAAATAACACAACATTAAATGATTAAAATAGGTCATGTACAAGATTTGGGTTATTACACTTAAGTATCAGCATCCATGTTACTTGAGAAAAAATAACTGCGTTTTTATTTTTTTTATTTTTTTATCCATTACACAGTTAAAAATACATGATTCAGGCCAGCAGGTGAGACAGCAGTTACACTGCTAGACCCCCACATGGTCAATCGTGGTTCCAGTCCTGGAACTGATGGCTTCAAAATCATGTCGGGCGTGTGCGCATGCATGTCCAAGGTCCCAGGAACAGAACAGAGGAGAAGGGATTGTGGTGTAGCCATCACCCCTGGGGGATGATTTCTCACTTTCCCTCTGTCTATCTGTCTCTCCAGTGAGTGTACATGCCCTAAGGCAAAAACTTCTTTAAAAAAAATACATGATTCACTTATTCATTTTTGAGTGCCCATCAGAAAAAAAAAAAAAAAAAAAAAAAACGAGAAAAAACATTCATATCTATTATATCCTACTTAGTGAGTAAAATGCCAAATGTAATAAATTCAATTAAAAGATGAAAAGACTCTCTAAATAAGCAATCGCCACCACCCACGAATCTTTGCCGACTATCTCAGACAGGGGTAGGATTCTCTTTAAACACACTCTCATGTCATACTCTGTCTCTTTTTAGCCTTTAGCATAACAATATTTAATTATTTCTTAATATTTGTTACTCCTGCTAAACTCTAGGCTCCATATAAGCATTTAACACCTGGCATATATTTAAGAGAAAGAAGGGAGTGAGTGGAGACAGCAGGTAACACTGTGGTTTGACCCCTTGATCTGGGAGCTTGAAAATCATGCTGGACATGTCGTGTGTGTCCAAAATCCCAAGAGGAGAGGGGACTGTGACCATATTCCCTGAGGGGATGATTTTTCACTTTCCCTCTCTGTTTCTGTCTGGCAAGTACATGCCTCATATGGCAAAAGTAATCTAAAATTAGGAAAACAAAGAAGGGAGAGAAAGATGAGAGAATATCAAGTTGGTGTGAAAGTAACTGCAGTTCCAAACTGTTGAAATTTTCCATCTGATATTAGATACATTCTTAAATAAAGGTGGTTATGTTACACATCATTTTAAAGCATAGTCCTCGCTTTTTTATTTTTGCTAATAACATATCTGACTGCCATCTTTTATGTATTTTAGACTACGGAAAAGATGTTAGGCATCAACAATACTACAGATGTCATTAAGTACCAAATTTGGAGACAGGCTTTGTACTAACCTCTACATATATGACCTGACGAACTTCGCAGAGTACTGCGACCAGATACTTTCCTCTTCTTATTTTCATTTTGTAAATGAAAACACTGAGGCACAAATAGATTCAGGTAGTTTCTAAGGACACGTATGGATTAAATTATGGGCCTGAGGTGGGAACTGAGGACTGCTAAATTCAAATCCTGTATGCTTCAAACCAGGTCTAAAAAGTCTGAAATACAATACTTCAACTTTATTACTGAAATTTTGAAATAAATTTACAGCTTACCAAAATCTGTATTATTTCCTCAGGCCTTTTATCCTCAACTGGTATCCCATTCACTTCTCTAAGTTCATCACCAACGTGAATAAGACCTAAGAAACAACAAAATGTGGTAAACCATCAGTGTAACCCACAGAAGAAACTGTAATTTGCAAATGTTTCCCAGAACAAAGTATTGTCAGATTCCCTTCATACATTTAAGAATTGGGAAGGAGACTTCCCCATTCCTCAGACTTCAGATTCTAGGCCTCTGTAGCAATGAATCAAAGACAAACCTAAGACTGGCAGAAAAACATCTCTGTCTTTGTCTAGAAATGCACATGATTCATATCTGATTAAATAATTTTTATAAATTTTAAAAGTTGTGTGCTTTTACAAGCACTTTTAAAATCAAAAACACTGAAACAAGACTTAATATATGTACATGGAAGCCCATGTACACTAAGCCCAAATAGATTTATCTATCATTTATTTAACTAACAGAAAAAACATATCTCATTACTTGTTTTGCTTTATCAAAAAATTATCCTCCTCCTAATTACAGGAATGAAAATGTTAGTCACAAAATACAACGTGGGCTTAGGCATGGTGGCGCACAAGTAGCACCACCGCCTAGGAGTGTGGAAGCCACAGTGAAGTCCCAGGTTTGGTTCCTGGGCCACCTGAACACATCGGGTAGGACTGCATGTGTCTGTAGTACTAGCTGGTTGAGAGGCTGAGGAGGAAGGATCACAGCACAGCAAGAGCCCATAAAAAATACCTTTCTCTCTCTCTTTCTTCCCTCTATTAGAGGGAAAAGATTAAGTTGCATTAAAAAACCAAAATTCCTAATAACATGGCTTATCTATATCCCGTTAAGAGTTCAACTCTTACCACTTCTATCAGCAGCTCCTCCTCTCATGATTCTCGCCACCACGATTGCCCCAGTGTGCTCGTCCTTCTTGATAGTAGCTCCCTTTAAGAGGGGAAAAAACGGCATTTGTGGATCAATGTGCATACTGGATAGCAGAAGAGGAGAAGCAAAAAGGGAACGTGAGAAAGTGAAAACGACAGCTACTGGGTCCTCAGAAAAGTCATGATGTATTTTTCTACGTTTTTCTATGCAAAAATGCATCATAACTTTTCCAATAACTCAATATAAAAGGAATTAAAGGACTAAGGCCGGAGGAAAAGACATCTTGCTGTTTGTCTTACAAACACTTGTGACTAGGTAGAGAAAAACCTACTACATATCTAAAGATTTCAGCACAATTTAAATGTTTATGAAACCTTTAACGTCTTTAAAATTGGAAATAAAAACAGTTTCTTCCTGTAAGAATATCTTGTATTTGAATGCTGTTTGTTTATTTTAGGTTTTTGCCATAGGGCACATGTGCTCACTGGAGAGACAGAGACAGATAAAGGGAAAGAAAAAAGAGAAAGCACCCTGGTGGGGGGAGAGCGGGGAACGGCCACACCACAATCTCCTCTCCTCCCTTCTCCTATTGGGATTTTGGGCACACATGCATATATACTCAGTGTGATTTTCAAGCGGCCAAGTCTTAAGACTCCAACCATGGTCAGCCATGTGGGAGTTCAGCACCTTACCCATTATGCCATTGGCTGACCCCGAGTGCTGTTTGTTTCAAGCATTTTTAAAGCACTTGATTTTTTTATTTTTTTAAGATTTCATTTAACTTTATTATTATTTTTTAATATTCCCAGACACACACACACACACACACACACACACACACAGAAGAGAAAGTGAGGGACCAGCAGTTAGCGTAATGGCTATGTCACTGGACTCCCATGTAATCGATCGCAGTTCGTGTCCTGGACCCAGTGGCTTAAAACTCACGCCGGGCATGTGTGCATGCATGCCCAAGATCCCGAGAGGAGAATAGAGGAGAAGGGAGTACGGTGAGGCCATTCCCCCTGGGGGGTGATTTCTCGCTTTCTGTCTCTCTGTCTCTCTCTGGCGAGTGCACGTGCCCTATAGCAAAAACCTCTATAAAAAGAAAAGAAAAGAAAAGAAAAAGTGAGAAAGCAAGCATCAGGTCCAGGACTTGAACCATGGTCGGCCATGTGCCAGCCCCAAGTGCCAGCCCCAAGCACTTCCTTATTTTGCTTTATCCTTACAATACTCCATGAAGAAGGTTAATGATGGCTACATAGACAAAATATTGTATGATAAGTTAGGAAAGTAAAACACAGGTCATCTGACGGTTAGTTTGGTGATCCTTCTATTGTGTTAGGGTATCACAGTAAAGGAACTTGATGGTAATGGTAAAGAAAAAGAAAAAATAGAATTTAAATTAGTTACATTTGTTGTCTGAGGCTAAGGGAAATGAATGGAAGAAAGATCTGTTATACCTCAATTTTAATAAACTAGGATTGTCTCCTGTACAGACAGAGCTAACATTTTGAGATAGATTAGAAAACGATCTCAAAAAGAATACAATTTTTCACCTACAAATAACTGAAAGCAAATGAACTGAAGGCTACTTTGTAAGAGCAACAGGAAATAAATACTTGTTTTAAAAGCTGTTTTATGAGGCCTAGTGGTTAAGGGGGCCAAATCTCATCTGGCTGACTATGATTCAAATCCCAGCCCAGTGGCTTAAAAAACACATCAGGTCCATGCGAGTGCGTGCCCTAAATCACAACAAGATGGAGAAAAGGGACTGCAGTATGATCATGCCCCATTGGGGGGTGCCTTTTTCCCCCTTTACTCCCCCAGTACCCTGTCTCTCATTGGGAAGTAAACACCCTCTAGCAATCAATCAGGTAATAAACAAATAAAAGCCTTTTTATGACTTCTTTTCCAAGAAACTGGCATTGGCACCAGGTGCCGGCCAAGTGGCAGGGCACCTCTGGCCGATGCTGGCGCCATGTGGGAGGCTAGGGGAGCACTGTGGTGTGGTAAGACCTGTCAAGGTCTTATCTTTTCTGTCTCTCAGAAAAGATTTAAAGAAATGAAAGAATAGAAGAGGAAAGGAAGGAATGACATGCAAGATAAGACAAGACATAAAAAAGGGAGGAGAGAGGAGAGGCACAGGTTAAGAAAAGCCATTCTACACTGCATCAGACTCCTGGAATTAGGTATACTTTAGGTGGTTACAGAGTTCACCACAAAGAAATGTGGAATTTTCCTCAAGTTTGTCAATAAGCAAATTTATATCACTAAAGAATGCATACATAAATAGTATACTGAGTTGTCAGAAAAGCCATGACACACTCTTGCATAGAAAAAATACACCAGAAGTAGAAATCCATTTGTCGTAAGTAGACCCTATATATGACAGTTATCAGGTATAGACCTAATAACGGTAAAAATCAATAACTAAATGATAGGAATAATATTTGTGGCATTTTTCATCACCTATGAATGCACTCAAGGTGAAAGACTTGAGGAGCATTTCTCCAAGGTCATAAATATTACGTCCATCAATTGCTGTTATCTTCTGCAATTATTTAAGCAACTAAATTATAACCAAAATGGCCAGAAATGTAATTTTTTTTTTTAATTTAACTTTTTTTTTTTTGGAGAGGTTTTCGCTATAGGGCGCGTGCGCTCGCCAGACAGACAGAGACATAGAGACAGAAAGCGAGAAATCACCCCCCAGGGGGGATGGTCACGCCTCAATCCCTTCTCCTCCATTCTCCTCTCGGGATCTTGGGCACGCACGCACACGCGCCCGGCGTGAGATTTAAGCCACGGGGTCCGAGACGCGAACCGCGGTCGACTACGTGGGAGTCCAGCGACATAGCCATTACACTAACTGCTGGTTCCCAGAAATGTAATATTCTCAATACAACTAATTACTTTGACCATATCAGCTTTCATTTTACTATCACTATGTCTCAAATTTTCCCCACCAAAGAATGCCTAATGGCAGAAGAGTCTAGTAACCTAATTTACATTAATTTATATTTCATAGATGAAAAAATAAATCCCGAATGGTTATCATTTGTCTAAGATCAGACACATCATAGGTCAGGACATGTCTAAGGCAATCAATTCTCATACAAATGTATAATCAGTATATTGTCTGTAGTTTGACAATTATTGTAAGGGTAAAGTAAGACTATTGGGTAAATAAACTTAAAAGTTTATAAAATACATTATCCAGGGACCAGCAGTTAGCATAATGGCTATGTCGCTGGACTCCCATGTAGTCGACCACAGTTCGAGTACTGGACCTGGTGGCTTAAAGTCAATGCCAGGCGCATGTGCATGTGTGCCCAAGATCCCGAGAGGAGAATGGAGGAGAAGGGATTGGGGCGTGGTCATCCCCCCTGGGGGGTGATTTCTCGTTTTCTGTCTCTGTCTCTCTCTCTGTCTTTCTGGCGAGCACACGTACCCTATAGCAAAAACAAAAAAAAAAAAAAAAAAAAAAAATTCATTATCCAGAAAAGTAGAAAATATTTTTAACAAACTTGTCATTTAACATTTGTCAAATGATATCTATCAATTGGGGGAGGTCACTGGAGAAGCCACAAGTCTACTAAAACAAAATGTGAAAACATAAGAAACACACCCACAGAAGACAAAGAGTCAGGTATCTGTAGGGGAATGAATGAGTCCAAAAACAAGACAGAAATTGGCAAGGTGAGGGAAGCCAGGATGAAATAACATCCTATCAAGTAGATGGTCAGACTTGGCAACCAAGGGGCAGGCTATCAGCGTTCGTTCAGGATGTACTTTTGTTTATTAGACCCAGGTAGAGTGTGGTGGCACAAATGCCAAGCTTGCACTGGGGGACCTAAGTGGGCAGTAGGCGCCTGGAATAGCCGCACCAGCTGGAGTGAACGCAGACCATTAGGTTTTCAGCAAGAGAAGGAAAAAGGGTGATAGTTTGATGGTAGAAATGAAAACACAACAAAACAAAACAAAACAAACAAACAAACAAAAATAAACACTGTTCAGGATACCAGAAACAAAGCTAGCTTCCCTCTTTTGTAAATTTGATGCAATTCAGATTTGTTTTCTTCCAGAGAATTTTTATGTGGACAAGCTTAAGAAAAATAAATTCGAGGCCAGCAGATGGCGTGGTGGTTGAGGCGCTGGACTCCCACATGGCTGACCATAGTTCAAGTCCGGGACCTGGAGGTCTCTCTCTTCTCTCCTCCCTCCCTCCCTCCCTCCCTCCCTCTCTCTCTCTCTCTCTCTGTCTCTGTCTCTGTCTCCATCTTTCTCTGGTGATGTATGTACCTATAGCAAATTTTTTAAAAATAAGGAAAATAAATTCTATTAGTGAGTGGACTTTGATGCTAAATTTTCAGTGTTTTACAGGAGTTATCTTGATATTTTTTTGACAATGGTTCTCAGGTTATACAAATGACCTGAGGTGCTTCTTTATAATGCAGATTTCTGGGCTCTATCACAAAAAATATAAATCAGTAAGTTTTGGTGGAGCCTGAAAATCTCAATTGTAAAAAGTATCTTAGATATTTTCAATGCGAGCATCTAGTAGACCACAGTTTAAAAACACATATTTCAATGGTTTAATCTAAAATTGACTGTGCTACCCACTTAAGGAGACTTTACAATACTGGCAGTTTAATGGGAGGTAAAATGTTGATTTAAGGAAATCATGAAACTTCAGTCGTAGCAGTCCCCTTTTATGAGCCATTTTAGAGAATTAGCAATTATTGGATCATCATGAAAGTCATGAAGAAAAAGATGTCATGACTTTTCCGACAACCCAATAATAAAAATCTAACCTGGGGGACCAGCAGATGATGTAACAGTCACATTGCTGGACTCCCACATAGTCGATCATGGTTCAAGTCCTGAACCCAGCTACTTGGAAATCATGCCAGGAGCATGTGCATGCCCAAAATCCCAAAAGGAGAATGGAAGAGAAGGCATTGTGGAGTGGCCATCCCCTCTGGGGGGTGATTTCTCACTTTCTGTCTCTCTGTCTCTCCAGCGAGTACATGCACCCTATAGCAAAAATCTAAAAAAAAAGAGAACAAAATCTACCCTGGGCCAACCCTGTAGTGCAGTCATTAAGTCATTGATAAAATAAATGATTACTAATGGATAACTGGGCTCCTTAGTATGGTCAGTTTATCAGTCAGCTTCTTGAGAGTGAATTCATCGAAATGAAAAATATTTCAGGGGCTGCCCATCGTGTAGTGGTTGGGAGAGCTGGCTCCCATTTTTTGAAGATAACAAGCTATGTTTGGATCTTAGACCACTAGTAGTGATACTTTGGGCCTGGTCCTTTACTTCTTTGAATATTGGTTTTCTAAACTATAATAACAAAAATGGTATCTGTCAACTGTGAAGACTAAATGTATGGATAGTATCTGACACAGGACCTAGCAACTACTGTATTATCAACTGCTATTTGCTTTAAAAAGACAAAGATGTACTAATTAGAATAAATGGGCACAGCACATTCAAAATCAACTAATGGGGACATGCAGATGGCATAACGGTTACGTTGCTGGACCCCGACATAGGTGATCACGGTTTGAGTCCCAGACCTTGTGACTTGAAACTTATACTGGGTGCATGTGCATGCGTGCCCAAAATTTTAAGAGGAGAACGAAGAAGGGAACTGTGGCGTGACCATCCTCCTGAAAGGGTGATATGTCGTTTTCTGTTCCTCTGTCTCTCCAGTAAGCACACACGTCCTATAACAAGTAAATAACTGAAATAAAACAAAAATAAAATAAACTGATAGGGCCAGCAGGTGATGTGGTGGTTAAGGCGGCTGGATTTCACAGGGCCAACTCTGAGGTTCAAGTCCAAGTCCCAGCCGCCTGTAAAACACACCAAATGTGTCCACGTGTGTGCCCAAAATCCTAAGAGGAGAATAGAAGAAAGGGACTGTGGTATGGTTGTCCCCACTGGTGGGTGATTTCTCTCTTTCCTTCTCTCTCTTTCTCTGGTGAGCACACGCATCCTGTGGTAAAAGTCTAAATTAATAAATAAATAAAATCAACGGCTAGATTATGAAATTTAGTTAATGTACTGTAGAATGTAGCTTCATAAGAAATGTAAATAGGCCCTGTATTATTTCCTACTGCTGATTTAACAGAAGACCACAGATTTAGTGGCTTAAAATCATACAAATTTGCCGTATAGTTCTGGAGGTCAGAAAGCCAAAATGGGTCTCAAAGAGCTGAATGAAACCAAAGGGTCAGCAGAGCTGCTTCCTTCCTGGGCCCTCAGGGAGAACATGCCCCTCACCTTTTCTGATTTCTAAAGATTCCTGCATCCCATGCTCATGGACACCTCACTCTATCACCTCTTCTCCTTTGCTGACTCAGGCCCTACTGTCTCCCTCTTTCACTTTTACAAGAACTCTTGCGATGACACTGAGCTACTGGATAATCCAGGATAATCCTGCCATCCCGCCACATCTGTGAAATGTCACTTTTGTCACATTCACAGGTTCTGAGGATCGGAATATGACATCTATCGGGGCAGGCGGGCATTATTCCCTCTACTGCAGACCCCTTGGGTGCATTTCAACATCATATAAATTCTGTTGCTAAAATAAGTGATTCTATTTACATTCTGACATATCAGACACCTGATTACTCTCTCATTACTTTAAAATAAATCAGCTTTCTACAAGAGCCAAAAGTTTATTTTTCCCCAATTTGCACCATGTAATCTCAGATCAGCCACACTCAGTGCACATTAAGCTTTCTTTCATAAATACCAACAGGCCACGTTTTCAAATTACTTCTATTTAAAACCAATAGAATGCCTGCCATTTAATTGACTTCACTTCATTTTTCTACATCACTATATATGGGTGTACTATTTACTTTAAAATTTAAGGACACAGAGGAAGCGTATTTTAAAGAGAAAAGTAAGTAGTCTACAACCATCAGATTGGCTTTATCGTGTCTACTCAGATCTGAGCACAAAATGTTGACCAAAACCCACCAGTGGTTCTCTGTTTTTAACCAGTCGGATGATTTTCACTGAGTCTTCCTCCTCGTCAATCTCTTCGGGCATCGGGGGCAGGACAGGATCGTAATTCTTCTGAGCCACTGTATCATGTACAGAGAGCAAAGCCTGCAATAGCCAAAGGTTGATTTTTAAAGACCTCACATAGAAAATTCCAAACGCACCAGCCTATAAAGAATTTCAAAGTAGTGTGATGACTCTGACATGATGGCACGAAGGCCACTGCTGGAAAGGGTGCCACGTACAAACAGAGGGAGGGGAGTGGCAGGAGCTCTCCTCAGCCGCTTCCCTCCCAGCACCATCAGTGCATGGCGGGGATCCATGGCGGAGATCGCAGGAAACCTTCCCTGACTGCGTATTCTCTGGCTTATCCTTATGCGAGTGGCTACTGGAGACAAGGGGGAGGGTGTTACTTTTATAGGGAGGGAGAGGATTAGGGTACGGATACATTGTCAATGAGCTAAAAAATGGTCTGAGGGACCAGCAGGTGGTGTGGTGGTTAAGGTGCTGGACTACTACACAGACAACTAAGGTGCGAGTCCCCGACCTGGCAGCTTTTTCAAAACCACACCAGGTACGTGTGTGTGTGTGGTGTGTGTGTGTGTGTGTACAAAATCCGAAGAGGAGAATGGAGGCGAAGGGAATGCAGCATGGCCATCTCCACTGGGGAGTGATTTATTACTTTTCCTCTCTCTCTGTCTCTTTCCAGTGAGCACATGCAACTTATAGCAAAAACCCTAGAAAAAGTCTGAGAATATTATACATTTTTTTATTTCCTACTATTATTTTCTATGAGCAGAAGACACATAACTGATGAATACAACTCTTCTGTTGTCTTCTCATTTTTGTGTGGCTAGCATGCATATTTAAAAATAAAAGTATTTGTAGTCCAGAAAGATGAGAAAACCAGTGGAACCTTGACAAGTCGCTGCTCACTATTTCAGATTGAGTTACAGATGTTCAGTGAACTTGTTCCCCAAACAGCAACACCACTATCATTACTTATTCAAGCTAAAAGCCTAGAAATCATCCTTGAAATCTCTCCTCACCTATACTCCCAACATCTGGTTCAAATCCTATTAGATCTACCTCCAAAATATATCTAACTGGCATTTTCTTCTCTCTACATCAGAGATTGTCAAACTATAACGCCTGTTTTTATAAATAAAGCTTTACTGGAACACAGCCACAATTGTTCATTCACATACTGTCTATGGCCTATGTCATGCTATGACACAAAATTCCACAGTCGGAACAGACACTGTTTACATAAAAAGCAGGCAGACCCCTGGTCTAGGTCACGGATGCGGTCATTTTTGGCCGAGAGCATTCAACAGGCTTTGGATGATTCTGCTGCTTGCACCTGCCACCCATTTTCAAATCCATCATTCACTGTGATTGTATTTTAACCTTAACACATCAACTGAGTTGCTAAGACCCCTTCTAAAGCTACCCATTGATCTCAGAATGAAGACCAAACGCTTCAGCCTGTCTTAAAGTCCCGCAAACTTCTCCAACCTAACTACTCTCCTCCTTACTCCAGTAACTTCCTCGTGGAGGCCTGGCTGAAACAGCCAACATAAACCCAGACCCCTCTGCTACTTCTTTCCCTTGCACCTTGTTCTCTGCTGTCACACATGTTCACAACTTGTAAATGTGGGTGCATTTTTATGTTTAATATCTGCCAGCTACTAGGAAGATGCCTATTTGTAAAATTTATTTATCTATTTAGTTTTATGTATAATTGTTTTTTAAACTTGCTATAGGGCATATGTGCTCACCAGAGAGATGAGAGAGAGGGAGAGAATAAGGGAGGGAGAAAGAAAATGAGAAAACAAGCTGCCACATCCAGGACTTGAACCACGGTCAACCATGTGAAAGTCCAGCGCCTTAACCACCATGCCACCTACTTGCCCCGAGATGTCTACGTTTTTAATTAAACTTTTTTTTTTTATTGACTATAACATGTAAACCAAAAGGACAAATCTTAAGTGTACAGGATAATACATTTCCCAAAAGGAACATGCACTTATAAACACAGCCCGCACAAGGAGGATGGCATTAAACGCACCCAGAAGCCCTTGCGTAAGCTCCTTCATAGTCGTCATGTCCTCTATACCCCCCAAAGGAGGCAGCCTTGCTTGTATTTTAAAATGATATAAATAGGAATCTAACTGTGTATTCATTTCCCTCAATACTAAGTTAGTGAGATTGATCCACAATGTTACTGGCGATACGGGCCATTCATTTCTCAGTGACGTACAGCATTCCAACACCGGGCTATTCCACAGCTTCTTCACCCACCATGCCACCCTGAGCAGGCAGTGTTACCTTCTGTAACAGAAACTTTGACTCTTCTCATAGCTAAAGGGAGTTAGAGATTTTTATGTCTGTTGGACATCTGTATATCGTCTTTGGACAGATGGCTCTTCAAGGTTCTGGTAAATTTTTATTGCATCTTTTTGTTCTCGGTGTGTAAGAGTTCTTTATACTATATTAATCCCAAGCGCGGTCAGTCACATGTGCTACACATATATTCTATCTGGTAGCTTGGCCTTTCATTTTCTTACTGATGGTTTTGATCAATAAAGAATCTTAATTTTAATAGCGTTATTAGTGTTTTTCCTTAACAGTTGGTACTTTTTGTGTCCAATAACAATTTCAAAGGGAAAGAATGAGCAGCACTAAGATGATGAAATATCTGAAGAGATAATGGCTGCAAATTCTTGAGAACTGATGAAAGACTGCAGATTCAGGAAGCCCAATGTATCCTTCGGAACGTAGTAGAAATCATCATGGCAAAACTGCAAAATGGCTATGGCGAAAGATGATCTTAAAAATATTCAGCAAAAAAAAAAAGATCAGAAAGGAAAGAAAAAGCTGACAGCTGACTGATCACCAGCAGAAATAGAAATGAAAAGACAGTCAAAATACTTCAAAAGCGCTTAGAAAAGATGGAAAAAAAGTCCAAAATTGTGTATTCGGTAAAGTACCTTTCAAGAACAAGTATAAAAGCTAAGATAAGGGACCAGCAGTTAGCGTAATGGCTATGTTGCTTGACTCTCATGTAGTCAACCACGGTTCGAGTCCTGGACCTGGTGGCTTAAAACTCACGCAAGGCATGTGTGCATGCGTGCCCAAGATCCCAAGAGGAGAATGGAGGAGAAGGGATTGCGGCGTGGCCATTCCCCTGGGGTGGGGGGTGGGTTTCTCACTTTCTGTCTCTCTCTTTCTGGCGAGCGCACGCGTCCTATAGCAAAAACCTCTCTAAAAAAAAATTAGCTAAGATAAAAGCCACAGAAAGAGCCACTTGAAAAAAAAAAATAAAAAGTACTATAAAAAGGGAGGGAAGGGGGTAGAGAGAATGAAACAACAGTTTGGGGAGCTACTGAGGTACTAGACACCAGGCAGAAGGGACAGTGATCACAGAGACAGAAGACAAAGGTGTGAGCCTACGACTGCCTCAACTTATAGCCCACAGTGTCCAGGCTCAGTTGGGGAGATGGAATCTGAGCAGAGCCTGGTAGTCATCTTCAGTCCAAAAAAGTGAACTGGGAATGCAGACGCCAAGGGGTTCAAGTTCTCAGGGGAGATGATGGGGAAGGAGAGCTGCACAGCCACGGAAGAACTCGAGATCCAACAGTGGTCCCCCTGAGCCCTCAGCCACATCCTCAGACACGGACGCATATGAAAAGAACAAAAAAGAAAAAGAAAAAGAAAAAGAAAAAGAAAAAGAAAAAGAAAAAGAAAAAGAAAAAGAAAAAGAAAAAGAAAAAGAAAAAGAAAAAGAAAAAGAAAAAGAAAAAGAAAAAGAAAAAGAAAAAGAAAAAGAAAAAGAAAAAGAAAAAGAAAAAGAAAAAGAAAAAGAAAAAGAAAAAGAAAAAGAAAAAGAAAAAGAAAAAGAAAAAGAAAAAGAAAAAGAAAAAGAAAAAGAAAAAGAAAAAGAAAAAGAAAAAGAAAAAGAAAAAGAAAAAGAAAAAGAAAAAGAAAAAGAAAAAGAAAAAGAAAAAGAAAAAGAAAAAGAAAAAGAAAAAGAAAAAGAAAAAGAAAAAGAAAAAGAAAAAGAAAAAGAAAAAGAAAAAGAAAAAGAAAAAGAAAAAGAAAAAGAAAAAGAAAAAAGAAAAACAGGATTAGAGAAATTTTTTTAAGAATTAAATTGAAATGTATTTATTTATCTATTTATTTATTTACTTAGATTTGCCCAGAGAGAGACAGAGAGAGAGAGAGAGCGAGCAAGAGAGCAAGCAAGAGAAAGTGAGAAAGCAGGCGGCCAGGTCTGGGACTTGAACTGTGGTCGGCCATGTGGCAGTTCAGGGCCCGTAACCACCGCACCACCTGCCAGCCCCTAGAGGAATGGTTTTTAGTTGAGGGTGATTTTACTCCCATGGAGCCACTTGGCAATGTTTGCAGACATTTTTTGTTGTCACAATTTAGAGGATGCTACTGATACCTACTGAATAGAGCCCAGGATGGCCTTAAATGGGACAGCCCCCAAGCCCATCCCCACCACACACCTCCAAAAAAATTATCCTATTTCAAAATGTCAACAGGTGCAAGTTAAAAGATCCTGCATCACAGGGAACAGTCCCCAAAGATCGCACAAGGCAAGAATAGTTCCTGTTCTCACCAGTAAGAGTAAAACCTCAAAATTCACAAGGCATTAGGGATAGTTATTAGATGGGTACCTGAAAAGTAGGCCCAATATTACACGCTGTTAGGGGTTTAGCTAACAAAATTTTAAAGCAAGCTTCCAAAGGATTAAATGTTTTTAGTAACATATGCATGTAACAGAAAAAAACTCAATAATATTTGCTCTATAAACATAAAAATAGCATCAAACAAGGTAAAACTCACAATGATTGGCAATCAATCAAAAATTACCAGGCATGGGGCTGACAGGTGGTGTGGTGGTTAAGGGCCCTGGACTCCGACATGGTCAACTGTGGTTCAAGTCCTGGACCTGGCAGTTTGCTTTCTCACTTTCCTTCTCTCCCTCCCGCCCCCACCCCCCCTTGCTCTGTCCCTCTCTGGTCAAATTAAATGAAGAAATAAATACACAGACAAACAAACAAAGTTAAAGAAGATTATTCTTAACAACAACAACAAAA